CTAGCCTTTCGGGTCGCGCTGCGCGCTCGATGCCTGTCTGCCAGTGCCCCGCTGGTTGTTAGGACCGGTCTTGTTTCTAATCCGTGTTTGCGAAAAAGCCTCGTGGAGACGTTGGGGCTTTATAGACCTGCCCAGCACTTACAAAGCCGGGAAACTTTCCGTGGCAAACCTAAATTAGGCACTGTTTGGATGGGCGTTTGCCCTTTAGTGTGCCTCTGTTAACTATTGTAGGAAACATATGAGCTGCATGTGAGCTGCCTATACAGCAGCTGTAAAAGCAGAGAAAGCTCTTTCCTGAGGACTTGGGGAAATACAAAGGGAACACCTTGGCAATATTTGAAGGTTCAAATATTCATAAAGGAAGTTCTTGTTGGTTGTTAAACGGTAGTAGGATATTGCCTAAGTATTCAGTATTTTACTCGAAGTTAATGCAACTTTTAAAATTAAATCTTCCTTCTGCAAATCAGTCTATGTGACTACAGATTAATTTCTTCAGGCCAGTCTGAGGTGTTCATCACAGCTTGTGCGTTACAGTACTTGACTTTAAGACAATGCTTTATTTTAAAAGTTTTCAGAACTTAAATGGAGTGAATGCTGACCTTAAGTATTGAGTAAAACTGCTAGGGCATTTGGAAGCTGACCTAGTGTTATCCCTGCTAAATCAAGATTTTTTTTTTCCTCTGTACCGTTGAAGTTTATAATGACATATCCTGTTGTTATCCTTTCCTGGGATGTACTTAAAGTAGCTTCATTTCATGAGCTGTATCTTGCAAGCCTGTATTTTGGCCTATACGACTTCTCAGATTGTGTGAAAGAACTGTCCAGTGGAAAATGAATGTTCCATACTGACTTTGTATTTCATATCCTTGACAACTATATAGAACAAAGTTTCTGCTTCATTGGCTGGGCCTTAAAAAAAAAAAAAAAGAACAACACCCAAACAAAAAACACTTATGTAGCCTATTTGTTTTTCTTATTGGCTTACTCCTTTGCCCATTTAGTATATGAAATTATTAAGCCAAATCCTTTTTCCTTTCTTCTCTCTGCTGTCTTCTCCACAGGTTTGTTTCAGAAAGGATGGTCCCTTTCAGTTTTCCTTTGTCAAAGCGTGCGCTTTGGGACCCAGTCCCTATGGGAGATGTTGTTGGTTCACATATCAGCTATTACAGGTATAAATAATGTTTTAAAGCAGCTAATGGTTAAATCAAGAATTATATGATTCATAGTTTAATTTTCTCTTTTGAGTCTGGTGTATGAGAAGACATAAAGGGAAAAGAAACAGCCAATGTGTTCATAAGTGTGTAGGGCTTTTTAGTTGAAATATTTCAGGGTTGCCCTTTTGGTGGTGTATCACAGTCAATTGGGTTTGAGGTGCCTCAGTCCGAAGTAACTTGCAATTTCTTTCAGTTCCCTTCCCAAATGGAAAGGTGTAAAAATAAATGCATACTTGTTTTCTTTAGTCTACTTTTCCATGTCTGTGAGCAAGAATGTTTATGACAAGTTGAGTACAAATAGCATGCTTCAAGCAAAACTAAATATTTTATTTGACTCAAGACATCTGGATTAAGTACTGGAAGATCTGATTTCTTTTATTTGGAAAGAATCTAGATGCAAATCTGAAGCAGTTGTGAATTTCTAGAGCAAGGAATACCAAACCTAACTTATAAAACAAATGGAGAGTAAAGCTGATTCTTATTACTTAGGGATAATTTACATACAGATGTTTTACAAATCTTACTGTAGGTGTTAAAGCACATCTATGAATATCACTGTGAGTAGAGGAGAATATAAAACCTTTATTCTCTGTAGCAATGGATAGTACTGACTGAGAGGTGGGTAGCCTTTAGATTTTACTCAGAAGTCAGAGGGCCTCTGCATATCCTTGCCACATAATGTTATTTGAATGTAAATTAAGCCCTTGGTTATGCCC